TTTGCTTGACTGGTCTTGTGACCCCTTGTTCTCCCCCACTTTGCCTATGGGGGTGTGTCAGAACATTTGTATAGCTTATGCTGTTGTGTAGGCTATAGTGGGGTATCCCATAGGGGGTACAACCCAATTAGGGTTTCCTATTTGTACCCACTTCACTCATAGTTCATTCATTCACGTTCAGTTCTTCTCAATTCTTCAGTATGGCCTTTCTGATATACAGTCCGCCTCTCCCATTGTACAGCTTGAACTCCTGGGTGGTGCTGTCTGCTTCAAGATGAATTCCCTTTGCCATCAACTGATTGGCGTTGTGTAAGTTGTAGCCGAGTCCTTCTGCAATTAAGATTTTCAACATTTACAGGATAACGTTGGTTTCTCGCAACTGAAGCCGAACTACGCCCTGTCGTCGTGTGCGTAGGTTCTGATTGTTGCCGACGGTAATTACGACTTCGCGCTGAAGTTCATGCTCTCGTTGAATGAAACGACCCGAGGAGCACTTGTGCTGTCTGCAGCAACTGTCCAGGAACCAGGTGTCTTTCTCGGACAGCTCGCTCTGGGCGATGGTTGCGTACGTCGGGTTGGGCTCCAGTGAATCGCGGCGGGGAGTGCTTTCATCGATGAAAAGGTGCTTTCATCGAGCCATCACAGTTCTTCTGGTGAGTAGTGTGGTTGCGATTCGGTGATGCAGGAGTCTGTTATTCTTACCATGCAGCTGATGATATTTCTAATGCCTTGTGCAGGTTTTGTCGTTGATGTCGTTGAGGACTGTACTTTACTGGTGGGATGCGCTTGTGTAAAGGTAAGTTGACTACTTGAGGGCCAAAATTGACGTTGCAGCGGCGTTGATTGCTGCTGACTAGGGTAGTGTGTGCGAGGGTGTCCTGACGTCTTGCAGAGATGGCAGAACGGCGGTACATATTGTTGAGCCTGATGTTTGTTCTGTCGATTGTTGTTGTTGTTGTAGCGTCGTTTAGTGCGAAATGCGAATTCTGGTGCTGACAATCTTTTCTTGTGTCGTTCTTCGTGTAGGTCCATGTCTTGCTGTTCAACGTGAATTTTGGCGCAGAGTGCCGCTTCGAAGATCTTCCCGTGAGCTCAGAGGATAGCTCGAGTAGAGCACCAATGAGGACCGAGACCAGTGATGACTACTGTCACGAACACTTGTTCGGATATCGATCCTCTGCATCAAAGGAGTCTGTCGCGTGGTTCGCGACAACGACTGATATACGCCATCCCCTTTTTGCCGAGTTTCGTTTCCACTGTTGTCAGCTGTGCCATAAGACGACTCTGATTAACGCTATCTGTTGCTTGATAAAGGTTCTTCATGTGGTTGTATGCGAGCTCGGCAGAGTTGCCGTATCCACGATAAGACAGAATGTTCTGCTGCTCGTTTGGCATGATGCTGCGTAGGAGAATCGTATACGCAATCACCGACTGATACGTATACTGTTGCTTGTCGTACTACGTCCCGTGTGCTGGGTATGGCAAGAATCCGTCGAAGATTCCGAGAATATGCGCGCCTTTCGTCATCAGCTCAAACTCGAAAGACCAGGTATATAAGTCCTTTCCGTCAAAGGGTGTTGATGCCTGTAGCTTCATAACGTGTGCAAACAGCGATTGAACTTGAAGTGCGTCCAGTGTTTTCTCCTATCCAGGTAGAGGCTCTTGGTGCGGCATGAAGCTGATGGAGCCATGTTGAGGCTCGCACGGAGCAAAGGTAGGTTGCTGCTGGTTTCCGCGCGCGTAGGATGAGCCGTCAAGACTCAATGGAGTAACACCGTTGTTGTTGTCGCTGTTGTTAGATTGAGCAGGTCCTGCTTGCTGGTGCTGCTCATAGAAGGACATGAAGGAGAAGAACTTCTCCATCATGCTTGGGTCAAAGCCTGTTGCCTGGTTCGTAGGAGTTTTAGTAGACTCAGCAGTTGGTCTTGTTGCAGTGCCTCCCTTTGTCTGTAGTCCAGAGACTGGAGGTGGAGTAGGAGTAGTGCCGGGAGAGCGGTTAGAGGAGCTTCTCTCCTTCTGTGTTGCCATGTCTTTTGATGTTGGAGACGTTTGAACAAAGTTGAATCTTGCCTTGGCAGCTCTGATACCATGTTGGGCTGAGAAAAGCCCTTAGGATCTTTTCAAGGCTGAGACTCTGACGAGAATGTTGTATTGCGGAAGCGTTGTAATAAGGAACTTTGTTGAACCTCCTTGCGCTAGTGAGTGAGAGCAAGGTAGATTAATTATAAAGAAGTAATACAAGCTTATATAAGATTACAAGGAATACGAAGGGATGCAATAACTGTTTTAGCATTGCTGTTGCGGTTCGATACAGTGGCGACTCCGGCAACTGCTCAATATCGAGTCAGTTGTTTGTCCTTGCTCTCGCGCTGTATTTGTCGAGTTAAAGGTCGCTGACCTTTTACCTTCGCGTAACCTCCGGCTGTTTCTGTCAACCTCCTCAGTTAACTCGCCATTGCTCCGCTGTAGCTTGCCTCGTTTATGGTTCAATGTTTTGACACATAGGAAGTGTTAATTTACTTGTTTCCAACACATACCCCCATAAAATACAATAGTGGCTTCAACTCGACAATATCTTCTATTTTGGTGCTTACGGTAGATTTGGTATCCATAATACCTACACGTGGTAAGAGTTGACGAGCGACTGCTTTAGGAGATTGATGAGGGGATTGATTGCCCGATCCACCGCCCAAACTGCATGCTAAATCAAGATGGAAAACCTTCACTCAGAAAAGGACGATTGGTCGCGTAATTGCCATGCTCGATCACCATTGCATGAGACAAACAGATGAACGAGATGCAAAGGCAAGCGAGCCGATCATACCAGAGAGAAATCGTCCATCGCCTTTGCGATGTGCTAGATATATCGCGCAGCTTTTTCTTTTTCAATTTCACGTAGCATCATATGCACATGTTGTCAACATACACCTATACATTTGTAGGTGTGCGTTGTTACGCTAGATTGGGTTGTACTATAGAGGGTGTGGGTCGTTACTTGTACCCCCGTCCTCTTATAGTCTTTCTTTCACTCGTTAGCATGGTACTACGCTAGGTTAGGACTGTCACTTCCAACCCACCCACCCTCCTGTCAGAATTAGGAGGCATCATGAGTAGGAACGAGAGTAGCGATAGGATTGTGAGAGAAGAGAAAAGGTTTCACTGACAAGGAAAGGTACAAGATGTAGGTTTGGATGGTGGCAAAGGGGGGGTACACCACCAAGAGACAATACGAAGCTGATATTACGCTCTACATGCAGTTATAAGATTATTAACTCAACACCCCCCTTGCTAATCATAGTGTCCTCACGGCCCCCACTATTGCGCCCCTTCGCAACGTCGTAGTGCTTCTCACGTTGCATCCCCTCTAGCGACGCTCGCCGCGGCCCTCCTAGAGCCTTTTCACGCCCTTCTTTTCATTTCCAGCTCCTCTGGTGTTTCGTAGCATGAGTATACGTGGCCTTTTTCTATTAGTTCTTTTGTCACCTGGAGGCTATCAAGAAGCATGGCATAACTGTTCACCATGGGAAATGCTTTGTTCCAATCTAACGTATATAGCGGCCCGTTGTGCCCCACCCCCGCGCACAATTGCCAAGCATCCCAGTCTACCTCATTGGTCCCAGCCTCGGCTTCGAGCCCCTGCCCCCCTTTATGACAAGTGCTCGTTGTGCTCTCTGGCTCACAACACGGTCGAAGCAGCTCTTGCACAGATCGGAATCCCACCCACCTGTCACATCCAAGTAGTGAACCATATCCGCCCAAGACAGCAGTTGACGCGGCTTTGGGCTTTCCTCGGCTCTTCCTTTCTTTGCTTCCGCTCCGTTTGCCACATCGGGCTGACCCGCTTTACCCTGGTGGATCCGGACTCCAAAGCAGGTGGCCCGCCGCATCATCGTATCATTCTGTACCTGCTCTTCCAACTCCAGAAAAGACTTTGACAAGCGTGCTTCTCTCACAGAATAGTCTACTTCCTCTTTCTTTTTCTCTTCCTCCTCCTCTTCCTCTTCCTCTTCTTAGAATTTTAGGGAAGAAGTGAACTATCGAGTAGGTGGGTACAAGATGACAAACCCTAAGGGGTTATACCCCACAAAATCTACCCCACTATAGCCTACCAACAAATATATAATATAGGCATATCTTTGACACACCCCCATATGCAAAGTGGGGGAGAGCAAGAGGTCACAAGACCAGTCAAGAAGAGCAAAGCAAGCTCAGGGTGGATCACAACGTCACCACACACAGAGCACAAGCAAAGGGCCAAAAGGCCAGTTCACATGCAAAGATATATATGCAACAACAACAGCACAGTGATCTTTACATACAAGGAGCAAACAAGCAGGAATATATATATAGATCACAGTACAGGCAGAGCCTACAGCAAGTGACGAAACGTAGGCACAAGCCCCAACAAAACACAAAAGCGCTGATGATCACCAAACGGAAAAGCCTTGGTGAATATATCAGCAGTGTTGGCCCGAGTGGCCACGTGAGCAAGACGAAGATGACCCCGCTGCTGCAACTCTCAAGCCAGGAAATAACGCAGAGCGATGTGCTTCGTTCTGTGCTCCAGTCTGTGGTCCTGACACAAGGCAATGGCTGCCTTGTTGTCTACGTACAAAACTGGAGGAGAACGAGGCGCCTCGCCTAGGTCGGTCAACAAGTAGGTGAGCCAACGCAACTCCTGTGCAGCCATGGCATTGGCGTAGATCTCAGCCTCACAAACTGAAGCTGAGATCTTTGGGTTTTGCTCATGCCCACACATCATCTTTCTCTGTATCTCAAGTCATTAGGGAAATTCAACACAATCTTCCGTTTTCGCACCTTCCTTTTGTGGGAGGAAGTGGTGGTTACAGCGGTCGTAGAGCGCCTGGTCCATATCGAGAAACTTGTTTTGAGAATTCTCATAACCGTTTTCACACCTTCTTGGAGGAACTGGCGGCGGCAGCGGTCGCCGAGCGCCTGGTCCATCTCGAAATAGTTGCACACGTTCATGCTCAGCCATCTCACTGCCTGGACAGAGAGGAGGGGGAACGGGAAGGGGTGGAGAGGAGTTGGCATAGAGCGCCTGGTCCATCTTCAGAAACTTGTTGCGCACGTTGATGCTCAGCCCTCTCACTGCCTGGACAGAGAGGAGGGGAGGAGGGGAGGAGGGGAGGAGGGGAGGAGGGGAGGAAGGGAAGAGGGGAGGAAGGGAGGAGGGGAGGAGGGGAGGAGGGGAGGAGGGGAGGAGGGGAGGAGGGAAGGAGGGGAGGAGGGGAGGAGCAGAGGAGGGGAGGAGGGGAGGCGGGGAGGAGGGGAGGAGGGGAGGCGGGGAGGAGGGGAGGCGGGGAGGAGGGGGAGGCGAGGCGGGGAGGCGGGAGATGGAGCGAGGATGAGTGAAGCAAGGGGAGATGCAGTGGGAGAGGGTTAAGCTGTCAAGGACATGCATGCACGTGCTACAGCCATAGCCACATTTCAGAAACGATCCAAGCACTCCACCAGGCTCACTGCACTCCACCACACTACACCTCGTTCTGGTGGCTTCTGGCATTGCATTCGAGAGCAGCGAAGATGAGCGGTAGGATGGTGGTGCGGTTCTGAGCCACCAGCGTCAGAGGCAAGGCACCTCCGCGCACACCATACCTCGTTCTGGTGGCTTCTGGCGTTGCGCTCGAGTGCGCCCTGCCACGTACCCACACGTGCCACTCTGCCCACACCATACCTCGTTCTGATGGCTTCTGGCGTTGCGCTCGAGGGCGGGGAAGATGAGCGGCAGGATGGTGGCGCGATTCTGAGCCACCAGCGTCACGATGTAGTCGTTGTTCCCCAGGAACAGCGCTCGCACCGCCACCTACAGGAAGGGGAATGGGGTTGGTCGGGGCCGGGGAGGGTGGAGAGAGAGAGAGAGAGAGAGAGAGAGAGAGAGAGAGAGAGAGAGAGAGAGAGACATAGAAGTTCTGCACCATGAGCGTTATGAAGTAGTCGTTGTCCCACAGGAGCAGCGTGCACTCCGCCACCTGATGGAAGAAGGGAAACAGGAAAGGAGGTTTGGGGCGGCGGGGGAACTGTAGAGGGAGCGCCATGTTAGAAAGTCAGCGGCCTTCACAAAGGCCAAACGCTATTGTTGCCCCCATAAAGGAAACGGACCCCACACACTCTTTATCTCAACTCTTAGCTGCAATCGGTCAGTCGATGAGAATGCGCAAACTCCCCACCAACTTTAAATACATTGCGAAGAATCAACCACCATAGATGAACTAAAAACCTAGTGGTTTGAGATCTTAGGGACGTAATGGTAGGAGCGTTGTACCTGGGAGTGCGAGGAGCTGAGGCACCGAGTTTTGGGACAGCTCAAAACTCGACTTTAGGGATATAATAGCAGGAGCATTGTAGCTGGAGGTGCGAGTAGCCGAGGCATTGCACACCAAAAGAGTGCCAGAACACCGTACCTGAAATTGAGCGAGAGCGTTGCACCTGGGAAGAGCGAGGAACTGAGACAGCGAGCAACCTGCTGAACGGCGGCTTCATGACCATCTGGAACTCGGACGTCTGCATGCCACGACACCCCCGCTTCTACTCACAGCCCCACACCCCGCCACCGTATCACATCCCCTCCCTCTGCATTACACCCGGACACACCCCGTCCCACCATAACTGAAAGTGCAGAGAGCTGAGGCAGCAAGCGATCTGCTGGAACAGCGGCGCCATGACCATCTGAAACAACTTTTAACACCGCCTCACACCTCATCAGATCCCCTCCCTCCCAGTGCATCACACACTCCCGTACCTCAGAGTGCGAGGAGCTGAGGCAGCACGCGATCTGCTGGAACAGCGGCGTCATGACCATCTGAAACTCGGGCACCTGGGTAAGGTTCAAAATCTCCTCCAACTCCTCCAGGAAAAGCAGCTCATTCTGGCTGTTAGATAAGGGCCAGAACTTAAGCAACCCGCGCAGCACCAAATCTGCGAGCTTCGGGTCTTTTTCCACAAACTGAGTGATGCAGTACGACAGCTGCTGGTGATACATCGCCACGCACTTAGGCTTGTGCAGAGGAACCAGCACTCGCTCCAGGGATTGCGTATGCTCCTGTTTAAGAGGCAGCACGAACCCATTGACAAAGCTTCCTATGAACTCCAGCAACTCCGCAATGCCATTATGACGCTCTGACTCGATAAACTGGTCGAAAATGTTGTTAATCGCCTTGCGGATGAACGGCCGGTGACCCATGATTTTGAAGTAAATGCGGTGTAAAATTCTCTTCAAATAGTCCCGCTCGCGCGGGTCCTCCGAGTCGAACAGGTTCAGCAGCTTTAAGATGAACTGCTGGTCGATGAAACGCTTTAGGAGCCTCTGGTCGGTCTCGTTAGAGACGACATACCTAAACAGGAATTCGTAGACTATTTGCAGGTGCGGCCACGCGGCTTCCATAGTCGGATTCTCTTCCGTCCCGGAAATCGCGTGCGCGGATGGCGGTAACGGCCGGAAGAGATTAATCTCCAACATGCGCGTGATGTCTTCGAATACCACCTCGTTAAATTTCCCGGTTCCGGAATTAATGTAGTCGACTAGCTCCTGTAGTGTTTGCCGCTTAATCTCCTTCTCCTTCACGTTTTTCATGGGGTCGTTGAAATCGAAGAGGTAACTGCAGAGGCGAAGCTTCCGGATAAATAGAGCCTGCTGCTCCTGCGCACCCACGTCTTTTAACAACGGCAGCGGCTCCGCGAAAGGCGGCAAGCTCGCCTGCGCAATCTCTTCATTCGGGCCGCGACGAACGGGAGCCGTTGGATTCGTGCCGCCTGGAGACGGATGCGAGCATTCCGCCTTTCCGGCGTCCGCTCCCCCCGAAGCGGCACTTGCCGCAGCTGCTGCTGCATTGCCTGCATTGTGCGACGCTGCGTCTGTCTTACCCTGCTTTTCCCGACCCCTTACAAACGTCTTTTTAAATGACTCTAGCATGCTAAGCCACTTCCTGCACGTGGAACCCTAATGCTAATATCGAACTAACGCCGTTTGGTTTCAGTAGGCAGCAATAGCATTCATAGTAGGCGAGAGTAGGTCTACCCCGAACTCGCCAAGCTTCGGACTTCTAAACGGCTGGCTTCCCAAGAGATAAGCAGGGAACTGATAAATACATCTAGCGGCTCATCTAGCGGTTTTTACAGGAATAAGGACTCACGCATCAGCCATGTTCCTGGACTGGGCTGCTATGGATAATCTAATGTGAGCTCCGACGGTTGAGAGTTCGCAGCACACCCAGCCGGCAGCATTGAGCACGTTCCCCACGCGCAATTCCTTCTCGCCTGGTTCCATCGCCCTCGTTTCGTTGTTTTCGTTTCGCCACATCACTTCTCACCTGTTTCCTTTCGTTCCAGCTAGTAAAATTTCGCGCAACCCCAATTTCCCATTCCGACCAGTGAAGCCAAGGGGATAAACAGTCACGACTGTTACCCAGCGGTCACCCCCCAAATCCGGCATATCTCGTAAGAACCAATATGGGGTACAGATTTTAGAAACTACACGAGCGGGTTCAAACAGGATGCGTAGCTTACACTATGGGTACATTCTTGGCTCGCGTCTCACATGAGGTCAGACACGAAGTGTTGTTGAGGAAGAGCCAAAGTGACCTCGAACTCTGGCAAATCAATGTTCGGAAGACCCGAAGTGGCCCACTTCGGGTCTTCTGAACCTCCACCCAAACCTCCACTTCGTGTCTGACACGAGGTAAGATGCACCCTATGCTGAATATTTTTGTACCAGTGCAGCAGATGTATGTACCCTTACAGCGTGTTGATAGAGGACCCTTGAGGTGCCTCAAAGGTGGTGCACTCTCTACTACTCCTACCCTATGGAATGATAGGTAGTTGAGGGCCACTAACAACCTATTGTATTGCACGGGCCATCTCAACACTAAAGGCAGAAAAGCCATCTGAACCTCCAATTTCCACTTCGGTGCCAGAAACCTCCACGCTCACCTGCGCCCCGAAACATCTGCTGCTTTAACTTAACTAGCTCGGCCAGCATTAGGAGCATTGAGGGGCGGGAGGCCCCAGGCAGGGCTGTGCAGGAGAGGGCAAGGCGAGCCAAGCGCAGCACCAACTCATCCGGTGCTTCCAGGCGAGGGTCCTTGAGTTTTGCCGCTGCTCCTGAGTCCACCAGTGGAGTCACCAACCAGGATGAACGGATATGATATACAACAGAACAGAGTTGTGGGTCGACTCAAAACAAGTGCAGCACCAAATATTCAGGTGCTTCCAAGTGAGAGTCCTTAAATGCTGCCATTGCTCGAATCCACCAGTGGAGTCACCTACCAGATTGAACGGATATGCCATACGAAGCATGCCCCTCCGGAAAATTCAAGAGTGTTGCATGAAGAGCAAATATGTGAGTAGAATAGTAGCATCAAAGTATAGGTGATAACACAGAAGATACAGAGGCATGGGATGGGTAAGTGGCTTGAAATAAAGGGTGAGTGGTACAAAAGAATGTGCAAGGGATGAGTGTTTATCATTGTTCAACTTGAATTCCTCAGTGTGGCATGTGTATTATGGGAGGAAAGAAGAGAGGATCATATGATCAAGCCTTCATGTTTCTGAAAGCAGCAAATCTATTCAACGTGAGGTGCACTTGGAATTATGAACATGTGTTAGTCATTGTGCGATGTGCCTCACCCATTGCTTGATGTTGACGCGCTTGCCCTCTATTACCAGCACAACCTCCCGTGACAACCACCAGCATCATCATGCCAAAACTGCAAGCCAGGAAATAAAAAAGGACATTGATTGTTACAGCTCCAGTAGTTGAATTGAACATTATCTATAAAAAAACAACCATCCACACGATTATGGTCCTCTGTACAACCACTTCTGTACCAACCCCTTTTCATTGAGTGGCTGGGATCCTCAGTGCCTTTGAATGGTGGCAAGGCGTGCCTGAAACAGCAACCATGGACTGCTGCTACTATGTACGATGCAAAAGGAAAGCTAAAAATCATAGTGAAGAAGAAAAAAACAGAGTTGTTGCAAACATCAGATGGCTATTTCGTCCCATTTAACCTGCACCAATCTTCTAACCTGCACCAATCTTCTCACCTGCACCAATCTTCTCACCTGCACCAGTCTTCTCATTTTGCACCAATCTTCTCACCTGCACCAATCTTCCTACCTGCACCAACATGTGCTGTGCCAATCTACTCACATGTGCACATCTGCTGCTGGAGAGGCAATTTGAGAATCGTAGTATTCAGGGTCCATACAGCCCAGTGTTCCCACCACTCGAGTGGAAGCCTCAAATGCTGCCATAGATGTCCCTCCAAGCAGCTTCACGAGACCAAAGTCTGCGATCTTTGCCTGCCCAGCATTAACCACAATAACAACATGATCACGCAACAAGAAATTAGGTGACGGTACTCTATACCTAGCTATTCAGAACATCACATGATAGCAGAAAGGGATGAAAAAGTATAGGATATCATATTTCTTCCACATGCAACCCCGCTTGAGAAAGGTTGAGCATACCTACATTCTTCTATCAAGGAGAATGTTGGTCGGCTTGATGTATCGGTGAACAATGTTGAAGTCATGAAGATACTGCAACCCTTGGCCACTCCAATCAGAACGTCCAGCCTTTGGAGCAGCGAAAGTGACTTAGAGACACCAGTGCCGGTCCAGCTGGCAAGGTCGCCATTGGGCATGAGCTCATAGACAAGAAGCTGCTCCATGGTTCCTATGGACGGGTCAAACTCGATGCAATAGCCCAACAGACACAAGAGATGTGGGTGGTGCTTGCTTGCCATCCATTTAACCTGATGGGGGGGAAATGATGAACCGATGAAAGGAGAATGAACTATGCAACCAGAAACTGATGTTGGCTTGGCAAAAGAAACGTGGTCCCAACATGAGACTACGATATGCTACGTCACTCTTAGATTCGTTCAAGCTGGAAGTTATTGTCAAATTATAATATTGTGTAGGCTATAGTGGGGTAGCTTATATGGGGTACACATTTTCTACGGTTGCATATTTGTATCACTTCCATTCCTTAGTCATCCATTCTCGTTCAACTTTTCTCATGGTATCGAGCAGGTTCCCCTGTGGGAACTGCGCCTAGGGCCCACCACTTCGACCTTTTTTTTCCTGCTCGAAGCGCCCTCATCCCGAGTCGCGCCTCGGGCTCTTCACTCACCGAGCCGCCCTAGCGGCCCGCCCTACGCTTCGCGGCCCCGCCACCCTACGCTAAGCGGTGCCAACGGGAGTTGTATGTTGGCCCCGTCCACGCTTGGGCGGAGTCGACATCGTGGTCGGGTGTTAGGGGAGCAGCCGACCTGCAGCAGTGGGCGAGCTGGTTGACGAGGAGGTCGACCTGCACGGGGACCACTGCACGGGCGCCGACTTCAGGGTGGCGCCAACTTTGGGGGGGGTCGACTTAGGAGTCGACCTGCGGAGGACGTCAACTTGGGGAAGCCGACTTTGGTGGTCGGCTGATGTGCTGGTCGACCTGCGGGTGGTCGACTGGACCCGTTGGTCGACGAAGGAGGGGCCGACGTCGACCTCGACTCAGGACGCCGAGCAGATGGGCGTCGAGTAGCGTGGTCGTCGACCGAGGGGCGTGGTCGTCCTAGTGAGGTCGACATGGAGGTGGTCGTCGACTTGGGAGGTTGACGGACACGTACGGGAGCTGCTGGTCGATGAGGTTGCCCGGTCGACCAGGTTATCTGGGTGACGAAGTGCTGCGGAGGAGTACGACGGTCACCCAGGCGAAGTTGGCGAGACCGACCTCGGTGGTGGTATCCCGAGGTCGACGTGGCGGATCAAATGGAGCCGTCAGCACAAAGATGACTTGGTGCGTGCGCTGTTCAGGTGACAAGGCTTAGCCCGCCAATCATCTGCGCGCACCTGTAAAGCGGGTGCACTGCTGTCCTGCGTGAGCAATGCTGGCACACCGCCAACATGCGCTGTCGACTTTGCACTACTTGAGCGCAGTCGACCAAGTCGTGCTGGAACGCGGTCGACCATGCTGTGCTGGCAGTTGACCGACCTGAATGCTAGCTCTGATGTAGCCTTGCATTGCCAACTTCATTGGACCATTGTTGTCATCCTTTTCTTAGTAAAACTCTTGCCAAATTGCCCCGTGAACTAGCAAGCAGTGTGAGCACTAGGAAAACGTCTAAGGACCAACGAACGCAGAGATCACACGAGCACATGTGCCTAGCCAGTAGTCTAGCTCCCGTTGTAGTAGTTATCTCCGCATGGTGCGGTGAGCGTGGACGGCACACGACTTACCTTTCAGTCAGGTCGACGTAGATACCACTTACCTATTTCGTAGTTACAGGCCGGCAACTGTGCAGTAGTCACTATGGTAGGAGCCGTAGGTGACGCGGTGGTGGTGGACACCCTGGAGGCACGGTTGGAGAACGCGAGGAGGAAGCATGAGGCCAATGAGTATGGCGACTTGCCCTGGGCGGTCGTCGAGGCTGGACTCCGCTCCACGTGGGCGACGGAGCACCCGTCTCGACCTGCCTCTCCTCGTCCGGTGAACAACGAAGGCGGCGTCGACGTGGGCGTCAACGCCGGTGGTGGTCAAGTCGGCAGTAGTGCTGGAGGCACGTCGAGGCAGAGAGGTGTGATACACGCCGGTGAAGTCGGCGGCGTTCAGGCGCGAGGGATGCAGTCATCGGCGGCTGCAGGCTCCTCACATGGTGACATAGGAGGTCGATGGAGTGGGCTGTCGCCGATGTCGGCGTCCCAGGTGACAGCAGGCGGGATTGCACCGAGCTACGGCTACTTCAAGTTCACGCCGGACAAGATCTCGGTCACCCCCCCACTGGTCGGTCGACCCGACATTCTCACCTGGAAGGAAGCTATCGAACCCCAGCTGGAGATGGCTGGGCTGATCGGCTTCGCCCGAGGGACCGTGGCGTCGCCTGGGGAGCACCACCCCGACTTGCGGGCGGAATTTTG